GGCTGGTTCCCTTGGTCCATCAGGATCTTCAGGAAACGTGGCAAACTACATGGGTCAAATGGCTATGGCTATGGGAAAACTTGGAACCCTTGAGAATTTCCTTCGCCAGGTATTTAAAACTTCTTCTACCTTGTGGTCCTGCAAACATGTAATTTTGTTATTATTGCCTCTAACGTGAAAGGAATCATTCACCTAATTTTGTTGATAAGTTACTCGGTACTTCCTAGTCGGTGCAGCTTTTCAGCAAACCGTGAAACATTAGATGCTCATAGTTCTGAAGAGTTTTTCTTGTTATATTTGTGCTAGGCTGACAATCTACGGCAACAAACTTTGCATCAAATGCAAAGAATTCTGACAATACGGCAAGCTGCTCGAGCTCTCCTTGCAATACACGACTATTTCTCACGTTTGCGTGCCCTCAGTTCTCTCTGGCTTGCGAGGCCACGGGAGTAAAACATGTGTGCCATCTTTTGGCGCTTCATGAGCTGATCCTAGAAATGTGGACAAATTGCGACGCATTTGCAGAAGATTGATGGTTCAGTTCCCTCTGAAAAATATATTGACGCCTTGTGTTCTCATATTGTACTTCGATGTTGTACAAGTAGCCAGGTAGGGGTAAGGCTTGTAACTGTAAGTTACCATGAATTTATGATTGACATATTGTACAATTGTATTAGCAATAAAATAAACGTAGATAAAAGGTGCAAGAGGATCCATTGATTGCACCTGTTGGAAGCAAGAAGCGAAAACAACATCTTGTGTTTTTTTTTTATAGGAGATTACCCCGGACTCTGCATCAAAATGATGCGTGCAACCATATTATTAACCAAAGAACCCACCAAGTATGTGCTATGATACAAGAACTCAAAATGAGTTGAAAAGAAAAGGACATTGCCGCAACCGACAAAAATAGGACTAGATGACTATACACCTACTCTACCGTTGGACCAAGTATGTGGTACGATACAAGAACTCAGATTTTGAGTTGAAAAGAAAAGGACATTGCCGCAACCGACAAAAATAGGACTAGATGACTATACACCTACTCTATCGTTGGACCAAGTATGTGGTACGATACAAGAACTCAAAATGCATTGAAAAGAAAAGGACATTGCCGACAAAAATAGGACTAGATGACTATACACCTATCCTATTGTTGGATAACGATCCAGGTTGCTTCACTTGCTACCGTTTCCTAATGGTTACACCCATAAGCCATATAATTTACTTGAGTAACGATCATGTACGGATCTAGCCAGTTGCTCTATAAATGATCTGCAAAAAAAGAAAATTTTGTGATGTTTTGTTTGTTAAAAATCACCTCATTTTGTCAGTTCCATATAGCCTTAAGCCATGTGCTTCTTGATTTTCGCACGGCTGATTAACGACCAAGTCCGGAGCCAGCCAGTTGCTTTGTAAATGACCTGCAAAAAATTTGTGATGTTTTATGTGCTAAAAATCATGCCATTCCAATAGTTCCATATAATCCAAAGTAATACGCACACTCCGATTCGAATAGCGCCGCTATTTTAGGCTCTACCCCATTTAGCCAAGGGGAGAATATCATACGGAAACCAACATTTAAAGAAAACTTTGTGGAAACCATGTTTGAAGGTTTCAAAAAATTCTGAAAAATGTAATATGTTAAGAGGATGAACTTCTATTGTCATGTGAAATTTCAAGTTAAAACACATTGCAGGATGTGAGCTATGGAAAAGAAAAATCTAGAAATGAATAGTGACGTTACTGTTTGGCAATGCTGATTTTGTTTTTTCATAGCTCATATCTCGTAACGTGTTTGAACTTGAAATTTTGTAAGGCAATAGAACATCGCTCTCTTAACATCCGTAATATTTTGAGATTTTTTTGATACTTCAAAACATCATTTTCACATGGTTTTCATCGGTTTCCACCGAATGTTGGTTTTCGTATGATATTTTCCCTTAGCCAAGTTCCAAATAAATAGCAATGGTATTAGGAGGACTTACATTAAAGGCCACAATGTGCGCCATAGTAGCTTGGCTAGTGGGCATTTGAGAAAAAGATGTTGGATCGATTCATCTTGATCACGGAAACCAACACTGTTTACTACCCTTACAACTACGTTTTGCCAAGTTATCCTTAGTCAAGATCACTTTCTTGTGAACAAACCACAGAAAGACTTTTATCTTTAAAGGCACCTTATTTTTCCAAGTGTGAAGTGACTTTGGGATTGGACCAGAGTTTACCAAATCTATATACATTGATTTCACTGAGAATACCTCTGAGACAGTTTATAGTGTAGTGTATCTGGCTTATCGGAAAGGTTGACATCCATCAACCTACACACGAGATGTAGCCATCTATTCCATCGCTCTCCCACCGGGGATCTCCTAAACTAAATGTTTAAAGGAACCGATCCTAGAATTGTACTTCCGAAAGCCTCTTTACATTGTATAATACTGTAGAGGGTTGTAGAGGGTTGGATATTGTATGAACTGTGGGCATCTTTCCTAGCCATGTATCTTCCCAAAACCTAGTGGTATTGCCGTTCCCTACAATTAATTTGGTCCTATTAAAAAAAGGAAACCTTTGGTTGCATCAGCCACTTCCAAAAAGGTGAATCATCCGGTTGTGCCGTTATTTGTGTGAGGGTCTTGGATTGCAAATACTTGTTACGCAATAATTTGTATCCACACACCCTCGTCCTTTGTAGAAAGCCTGCATAACCATTTACTAAGCAGCATCTGTTCTTTACCTCAAGGTTTTCAATCTCTAAGCCCCCTTGGTCCTTCAGCGTACAATTATATCTCACCTCACTTGACCAACATGTTTCTCATCGCTTTGCTAGAAAAAACGTGATCGATAAAAGTCCAACCTTTTCCATACCCCGACATGTACTTAAAGAAGGATAATAGGAGCTTTGGCATACTTCTAAGCAAGGAATTTATCAATTAGCCGGCCCCATAAGACATAAGCGTGCCCTTCCAGCTACTTAGTTTCTTCTCAAATTGATCCTCTATGCGCTTCCATTCTGTGTTGGTTAGTTTTCGGTGATGAATTGAGATTCCCATGTACCTAAATGGAAGAGACCCCAACTCACAACCAAACATCTGTCTATAAATTTCCATTTCTTCCTTGGCGTGCCCAAAACAAAACAGTTCACTCTTGTTGAAATTAATTTTCAAACCAGACAGTTGCTCGAAAAGACACGAAACCAGTTTCATATTCCTAGCCTTTGCCAAATCATGTTCCATGAATATAACAACATCTTGTGTTGAGTGGTCTATCAATCTTCTTTGCACCGGAAGCTTAAGAAAGCCGTCATAAAAGACTAGGACCCTAGGAGGATACTTGGATGATGTCGTTCGATTTGTTACTCACTGATGTACTATAACGTTTTAGCTATAAACCATTTAACCTACGATTCGAAGGAATTTCATAGGATTTGTGGAGGATTTAAACCTGGGATAGGAAAAATTCCCGAGGATTGATTTGCACATAGTTTTGGAGGAAAATTTCTATCCACTCGAATCTCTTTGTATAACTTTTGTTTTTCTGTGGCATCATACACATATTGTTCAAATTAATTCATATGCTTTTTCTATTCCTGTATTTTGAGAATCCTGCGAACAAAGAGGGCCCCCCAATTACGACTTCACGTGGTTTTCTAATTCTATATAGGATTTAAAACAGTTACAACTTTTTAACCTCCCAAGTCTCAACTCATCTTTTTTTAGAAACCCAGGAGTCTCTCCGCGGCTTAGTTGAATATCAGCAAAACATCCCCATTGATTGAAAAAATTTCACATGTTTTTTGAAGGATTTTGACTTTTTTCCTTCATATTCTTGTGTTTTGAGAATCTATAAATCCGAGGCCCATAAATAGGTTCATGAAGAAAAACCAAAGCTACATGCCCATAGATAGGTCCACAAGCTCACGCAGGAGCATAGATCGATATACAGACACATCGTTAGATGTTGCTTCAACTAACAATCTACTCTCTCTGCATGGGCATAGTTTCCAAATCTGAGTTTGTTTTTGCGGGTTCCAAACCTGAGTTATGAGTGTAACTTTTGTATACTATTTTTGCACAACAACCGCTTCCCATTTACCTTTCAAATTTTGTCGATGATTGGATACACCTCGAAAACATTGATACCTTCTTGTGGCACTCAAAATATTATGTTAAAGGTTGGTGGATCAATTTATCAGATGCCAACATTCCTCGTAGGAAAGTCTTGGTCTGTCTCAGGCAAGAGAAATGCCCGTGTCTTCCGTCACAAGAGCGCTCTACATCCAATCCTTCTAAGCTTAATTAAAGAGAAGGCCGTGCTTTGGGCCAAAGCGGGGGCTAAGAAGTTAGGAAAATTTATATTGAGAGAGTAACACTAGGGTGTCTTTGTAACAATAAACTTCTTAATTAATAGACAAGGCAAAGCTCACGCCTATGTTTAAAGAAAAACAACAACAGTAGCGACTATGACAATAATATTTCTCATCTCCCTGCTTTTGATCAATACAAGCCAGCCATCTGCTGGATCTTTCAAAAAAAAAAAGAGACAATAATATTTCTCATACGAATTCAATAGTCATCAACTTGTGTTTGTCAGAACCAAGAACTTGGACCCACGCTTCGAAACGGCAAAGCGATAGCTGATAGCGAAAAAGTTTAGCTCCCAGACGCACGCGTCCTTACACATGAGCAACGTTATTTTTAGACTTGCTGCTCTGTAAGCATTTCACAAAGCAAGGAGTTGGGAGTACTTTGTCACTTTCCGAGGGCTTTTTTGGCTGTAGTGCGAAATGTGCATCCCAACGGGGGCGGCTACAGAGCGTCGCTATCCACTCCCTCGTGATAACTGAAGCCGACGACACGTACGGCTAGCTACTGTGCGTGGCTGTCTATCACTATCACTATCAGATCAGCCGGGGCCTGACACGATCCTCGCACCGGCGTGAGACTAAAAAGAAGCGGGGCAGGACACGGCGGGCCGAGAAAGAAGCGCCAACGCCGAGTATGGTTACGACGGTCCTCGCCGTGACGGCTTCAGCAGCTCCAGCGCCGCCTTCGTTGGGGGCTGCGCGCTTCAGCCCGGTGAGTACTCCACCCGAGCTCCTGTGGTTGGCGGCCGTCGTGCCTTTCGGCCTCCTTCCACCCTTGTGGCGCGCTTGACCTGGTTGATAAAATGCCTTTACCAACTTGCTATGGTTATGGTGCTATGCTGGATTCTGTGACCATGGATGCGTCATGCGTCATTCCTACGGGCCAAGAGGAAGAGGGGCGGATGGAAGGGCGAGTGCTCCTGTCTGCTGCTATCAGGATGTTCGTTGAAATGCGTGTTTGAGCTTGTGATTCTTGTGGCCCGTTCTGGCGCCTGAGGCTGACGGAATACAGAGTCGTCCAAGCACCATTCTGCCCCATATTGCCTACAGATGATGCTTGCGTTTTATTTATTCTGCATCTGGTTCAATGACTGTCAGTGTCAGATGTCGTAGGCATGGACACATTAAGTGCTGATCACCGCTTGATGCTTCTGCATGTAGGTTGCAGGACCCGCCGTCAATTTTAGACCGCAAGTTTGTGGACTGAGATGTTGGATGGCTGCCAAGATGAAGCTGCAGAAGGCCCTGAGGAGCCACGGATGGCAAGTTCAGAGAAAGCTGGGAATTCGAGGGGACGGTCAAATTCCTGACTGCTTCGAGGTTGCATCACGGACTGGAAAGATAACTCGTCGGAATGTACAACCTGCTGATGGTTGGTATTCGGATACCACTTGCATTTTGCTACTTCGCATATACTATCAAAATTATGTGATTCTTGGCCTATGATTCCCACGGTTTTTACTTTTTGCATGACATTGGTTTGTTTCGTGCCTTTGAAAGCTGCTTCTTTTTGGCAAATTTGAAAGTTACATTCAGTGTGCATCATTTCTGAAACATGGTAGGCACTAGCTTTCATCGTACTATCTTAGTACTGTCATTACAAATTTCTCTGTAATTATTTGCTTGCATCCAGATGCTTTCACACACACATTATTGTTTCCTTTTATGTAGAAACTGGAGGTAATAACTCGATCGATGACAAAAGTTCAATGCATCTGGGACTCAACCACTCTGAAGCTGATCGTCCTGTACTAGAGGAAGGCGTTGTTCTGTTTGATAACTTTGATGACCAACCTGAAAGTGTACCATCTCTTTGCATTGCTGTCATTGGAGCTACTGGCGAACTGGCAAGAAGTAAAGTCTTCCCAGCACTATTTGCTCTGTATTACAGTGGTTTTCTTCCTCAGGTATGAGCATAACATGTCATAACTTCTGCTTGCCTTCATTTTTATTCTTTTTTAGAACCATCTTTAGCAAACAAGCCTCAATCTTCAATCCTATATTTGTGATCAACCCGCTGAATCATCAATTTCTATTTAGGATTTTTTTTTTCGAGAAAACGCAAAAGCCTTGCGTTTCTTTTCATTGAAAAGGGGGAGGTTCAGTTACAGACATCTGAGGATGTGTGGATTACAGCAGGTGGATTAATGCACATCCCAGGTTTGGGGCAGCACAAGTCGGAGACCAGGTGCCCCAGCTGCCGCCCATGAGCGGGCCTCGTCCTGAATGCTATCTAGGAGCGTGTTAAGGGATGGAGTCGTATTGTCGAAGACGCAGCTGTTCCTGTGTTTCCAGACCATCCAAGGCACGAGCAGCGCGACAGATTTCAGGGCCTTGCGAAGGATCGGCGGCGTGTCTTCCTTGGCATGGTTCCACCAATCCGTAAGCGACAGTTCCTGTGTTGGGATCGGGGCCGGTATGCGTAGCCAGGCCAGGGTCTCGTGCCATGCCTGTCGGGCTAGGGGGCATTCCAGCAGCAGATGTCGCATCGTCTCCGGTTGCTGGTCACATAGGAGGCAGCGGGGATGATACTGGAGACCGTGGCGCGCCAGCCTCTCTGCCGTCCAGCAGCGGTCCTGGTTGGCTAACCAGTGGAAGAACTTGACCCGCGGCGGCGCCCAACACTTCCAGATTAGCTTCCAGGAATGACAGCCCGTTGATCCATGGAAGGTGGCCGTGTAGCAGGACTGCGCGGAGTAGGTGCCACTCGCCGTCCATCTCCAGATCAACCTGTCCGGTGTGGTGGAGAGCTCAGTGCGCTGCATGATCTGCCAGAGCTGCAGATACTGACCAATCTCGTGGAGGCCGAGGTTGCCTTGGATGTCGCGTGCCCAGGAGTTGCCATTGAGTCCGTCCGCCACGGTTCTCGTCTTCCGTCGTCGCTTGGGGATGCAGCCGTAGAGGTTAGGCATGAGCTCGCGCACGGATTGGCCACCTATCCATCGGTCCTCCCAGAGCAGGGCGGTCTGCCCATTCCCAATGAGCGTGAACGTGGATGCCCAGAACAGGGCACGTTCCGTGGGCGAGAATTGAAGGTCCAACCCCTGCCATGCTCGCTCCGGGTCCGTTCTGGAGAACCATAACCAGCGTAGTCGCAGGGCGAGACTGGCGCGCTCGAGGTCTCGCACGCCCAGGCCCCCAAGCTCGATGGGGCGGCAAACTCTGTTCCAGTTCACGTGGCAGTGTCCGCCATTGGCAGCGGCGCGTCCAGCCCAAAGAAAACCACGCTGAATCTTCTCGATCTGCTTGAGAGTTTTTTTGGGGGGCGCGAACGCAAGCAGTTGGTGCACTGGGATGGCACTCAAGACCGACTTAACCAGCGCGAGGCGCCCGGTTTTAGTCATCAGCCAGGCCTTCCAGGTCGGTAGGCGCGCTGCAACCGCATCAACCATGGGTTGTAGCTGGGCGGCAGATGGGCGGCGCGTGGACATGGGGATGCCGAGGTAGGTGATGGGGAGAGTCGCCACCGGGCAGCCGAGGTGCGCGATCATCTCCGTGGCTGCTTGGTCGCCGTGCAGGATGGTGGCGGAGCTCTTGGTGAAGTTCACCTTCAGGCCGGAGGCCCTGCCGAACAAGGCGAGGATCTCCCTGATCGCAGTGGTGTCATCCGCCGTGGCGTGGCAGAAGACCATGACGTCGTCGGCGTAGAGGGAGATCACCGGGATGTGGCGCCGTGGGTGTAGCGGCTGCAGGATGCCCAGGCAGTGAGCGCGTCGTAGGAGCCGTCCCAGGGTGTCGACCGCGAGCACGAAGAGCTGCGGGGACATGGAGTCGCCCTGCCGGAGCCCTTGCCGGTGCCATATGGGTGGGCCGGGCTCGCCGTTCAGGAGGATGCGTGTGCTCGCAGAAGACAGGAGGATGGCCGTCCACTCCAAGAATCTGTTCCCGAATCCATACTGGCGTAGAACCTCAAAGAGGAATGGCCATGACAGGGAATCAAAGGCGCGCGTGAGGTCGAGCTTGAGCATGACTCTCGGAGCTCCCAATTGGTGCAGCAGCTTGAGTGACTGCTTGACAAGGACGTAGTTGTCGTGCAAGCTCCTTCCCGAGATGAAAGCATTTTGGTTGCGGCTAACCAGGTTGTCCAGCTTGGCACTGAGGCGGATCGAGAGCACCTTGGCGAAGATTTTGGCCACAAGGTGAATCAGGCAGATCGGCCGGTAGTCGCGCAGCCCATGGGTGTCGGCTTTCTTTGGCAGCAGCGTCAGCAATGCTTGGTTCAGCTTGTAGAACCCCCTTCCTCCAGCCACGGAGATGATCGCGCACCTCGGCTGCCCGGTGGCGACTCTCCCCATCACCTACCTCGGCATCCCCATGTCCACGCGCCGCCCATCTGCCGCCCAGCTACAACCCATGGTTGATGCGGTTGCAGCGCGCCTACCGACCTGGAAGGCCTGGCTGATGACTAAAACCGGGCGCCTCGCGCTGGTTAAGTCGGTCTTGAGTGCCATCCCAGTGCACCAACTGCTTGCGTTCGCACCCCCCAAAAAAACTCTCAAGCAGATCGAGAAGATTCAGCGTGGTTTTCTTTGGGCTGGACGCGATTAGTTCCATCTTTCCCATACATAGTTCGGCTTAGTGCCAATAGAGGTGGTGTTGTATGTGTGAATAATGATGTAGAATAATCAGATTTTCGAGTCCTTTTGGGAGTTTGAATCTAGTGACTGCCTGTCAGCTGTCTGTATTATCATTTCATCCTGTCACGACTTCAATGCTTTATATTGCAGAATGTTGCCATATTTGGATATTCTAGAAAGACATTAGCAGACGAGGATTTAAGATCCATGATTGAAGCCAATTTGACCTGTCGGGTAGATCACCAGTACGTTTCTTTGGTAGCAGACCTTGACTCCAAGCTTCATGCTATTAAATTTAGGAAGTTTTCATCTGATATATATTTATAATATTGTTGTGCTGCAGTGAAAATTGTGAAGAAAAGTTGAATGAATTCCTCAAAAGGACATACTATGTCGATGCAGGACATGATAACAAAGATGGGATGGCGAAACTAAATTCGAAAATGGCACAGATAGAGGTGAGGTTACATCATACTTCTGAAATTCTGTTGGATCGAATTCAAGTGCTATAATTATACCTGGGCTTTGTATGTTAATTCCCAACTTCTCGTTTCAAAGGGCACTTGTGCAGCAAACCGGATATTCTACCTTGCTGTTCCCCAAGAGGCACTTCTTGATGTGGCATTGCCATTATCTGACAGTGCCCAAACTAAGCATGGCTGGAATAGGATAATTATTGAGAAACCATTTGGCTTCACTAGTTTGTCCTCACAACGGGTAACACAGTCTTTGCTGTCAAGATTTGAAGAGAAGCAAATCTACCGGTGACCATCTTGTATCCATGCAAGTTACAAGTCCTGTCACTAGTTTTTACTCCACCTTTCATTCCATTAAATCTTATTGCTAAACATTATATCACACAGAATTGATCATCTTTTGGGTAAGGATCTAATTGAAAATCTCACTGTCTTGAGATTTTCTAATTTGGTGTTTGAACCTTTATGGAGTAGGAAGTACATACGCAATGTGCAGGTACTTTTGAAACAAACTCATTTCACCAATGTATTTATTTTTACATACACACTGCTAATGTGCATGCATTGTTACAGGTCGTTTTTTCTGAAGAAACATCAGCAGAAACACAAGGGAGGTCAGTTAACATGAAGGCATTTCTCTTAGGGAAAAAGAAACATCACTAAGTCGTCATCGATAAAAGAATGCTGAAGCCCTTTAGGTTACATCATCATTAGGCACCATTTGTTTTGCACAGTCTAAATAATATACACTTTGACTATGCTGGTTTTACGTAAATTAGCACAAGTTCATCCTGCTGAGTAATTCTTAACAAAGGAAATTTAGTACAGCACCAGTTTTAATCCTGGTTTCATGCTGCATGATTAGCTTATAACTGGATTGTGACCTTCAATGTAGTCTCTAATTTACTCAGGGTTTTTAATGAAAATTTAGTCCATTATTAGTGCTCCCATTTTACATTTATATTATCATTTAGTTCCTCCACCATGTCATTTCAGGTACTTTGGAAACTACGGGATAATCCGTGACATAGTGCACAGCCACATTCTTCAAACGATAGCACTATTTGCTATGGAACCACCTGTAAGTCTTGATGGGGAGGATATCCGCGATGAGAAGGTAACCGAGTAGAGCGCTATAATTTTATACCAGAGGAAACCATGCACTTACCATCCTAGAAGTTAAAAAATGCTAATATTTGTTACAGGATTAAGAAAACTATATATTATGCAGGTGAAGGTGCTCAGATCAATGCGAAAAGTGGACATTGAGGATGTCGTCCTTGGTCAAATCAAAGATACCTCTGGTGACGTTGACCGATATACAAAATCAATGACACCTACCTACTTTGCTGCCGCCATGTACATTGACAATGCACGTTGGGATGGGGTACCTTTTTTGATCAAGACTGGAATGGGACTTATGGAGAATAGGTACTCTCGATGAGTTCCATAACTTTTACCATTAGATGTCTTGGCTGGTTTATCTCTTACTCTCAAAAGAAGTCAGTGTCTGATTTCAGTCAGCCCATCATATCCTTTTGTTATAATGGAATCATCATCATTATACTACCTTCCATAAATCTTTGAATTCTCCAAAGGTAAAAGTGCATAGTGTTTCGTATGCATAGGTAACACTGTTGTCATACTCCCTCCGGTTTGTACTAAACCATCGACAATTAGGCCCTGTTCGGCTTACCTCCGCTCCACAGCTCCACTCCTGGAGCGGGTGGAGTCACAGTGAAAAAATGCGGAGCGGCTGTTTCGTGGCTCCACAGCTCCTCGTATTTCATGGAGCAGGTGGGATTCCGAACAGGGCCTTAATATGGACCGGAGGGAGTATTATTTTCAAGAGCCCACCCTCCTCTGAGCACATTATTGAGATCTTTGCATGCTTACTGTTTCAGAAAAACAAATACAACTTACTTACCTGATCAAGCATAGCTGACAATTCTTAATCCTTCATTTCCTTCAGAGCTGAGATTCGTATTCAATTTCATCATGTCCCTGGCAATATCTACCGTGAACGTTTTGGTCATGACATAGATCTCGACACAAATGAGCTGGTTTTACGTGACCTACCCGAAGAAGCCATTCTCTTGAAAGTCAACAATAAGGTCCCGGGACTTGGGCTCCAGTTGGATGCTTCAGAGCTGAACCTACTTTACAGGGACAGGTATGGAGGTCACTTTGATCATCTTGTGATCTACAGTATTCAAGAGAGCTGGTACTGAGTCATGATGCATGCTTTGCAGGTACGACGTTGAAGTTCCAGATTCATATGAGCATCTTCTTTTGGATGTTGTAGATGGCGATAGTCATCTCTTCATGCGCAGTGACGAATTAGCTGCTGCATGGAGCGTATTGGCACCTATACTCCATGAGATCGACCAGAAGAGTGTTGCTCCTGAGCTCTACGAGGCTGGGGATAAAGGACCAATTAATGCTTACTATGTCGCTGCTAAACATGGAGTCCGATGGGATGATGGCTGCTGAGCTGATACTTGGGAGCTGCTCAATGTATTTCGCTTCCTTCCCCGTGTGTAGCAAAATCTGTTCGTGAACTAAAACAAGAAATTGAGAAGAAAAAAATAGGTATTTCTTGCTTGTTGATTCAAACCCTTCGAAGGTGGATCAAAGGTACTACCGAGCTGATATGTTGCACCTAACAATGAGGATGGAGTAGTGCATTGAGCGAGTCGTGCGGGGTGACTTCTGTAAATTGGACCTTAGTATGTGCTAATAGTTGCAAACATCTTATGGAAATGTCTCGGTGTCATGTTAAATATGCGTGGGTCGTGTTGTCATTCTCAAGCAGTCATTTGATTCCGTAAAGCAAAAGAAGTATGCTTGAAACTCAAGAAGCTGCAGAGTCCGGAATTTTCTGTTCCTTTCCCCCAAACACTTCCCTGATAGTACTGTTTTTGCCGCCTTGGTATCAAGGTAGATTCTGACAATCCAGTTTATCCAATGCAAACTGACTTTTTTTTTTCTCTTTTTGAGAAACACATACACCTCGCTATCGATGGAACGATGCCACCCGCCCATAAAAAAAAACCACATTTATGAGATATGCAAGAATCAAACATTTCCTGATGGGTTGGGGGTACAATCACCCTCCTAACCATTTAACCATAAGTTGGTATTGGTTTCCACTGCAATTTATATGGGTAACTTGGTGACTATTGGTTTTTGTTGCCCTTTGACTAAGTAATTTTAAGCCCCTTGATACCAATGCTAATGTTGTGTTATGGCCTTAGGGAATGAAAAAGGTGTGAAGTCTAATTTCTTTCATGAACCATGATGAAATGTCCAGTTTACAACTTTGTTTTTCAGTTTACAACCATCAAAGGATCTAACAACATTAACATATGAATTATTTGCACATACAGGGTATTGATATTATCTTTTAGAGTGCAATTCCTAGATGGCAATCTCTTTGTAGCAACAACAATCAGGATAGACCATCCGAAGCTTCCTTCCCAGTGGAATCGTCAAAAAATGTGTTCACACATGAACACAGTCATGGTGTGCTCTCAACGTCGAGTACAATATGTATAACACATCGCCGAAGGAGCCCCACCAGGGACGCGATATGCAGGACACACAAACGATGTCTCTTGAAGACCCGAAATCTCGCACATCAGGGAGGGACCCTGTCAGAGCACGACAACTATGAGCTCTCCTAAGTCGGCCTAACCTCCTCTAGGGCCTTGTGGTTCACTGTTGTTAAAGACGAAGAACACCAAAGAACGAGAAGCAACAATTAGGTAAGAAAGAGAATATAATAAAGTAGCATATGGATTTGACCAATTGTTTGTTGTTTAATCGGCCGTCATCTCTGACTCTAGACTTTCATATAAGAAAGGGACTTGAAATCCCGTCCAAAAACTAAAAACCTAGCCTACCCGAAGCCTCCAAAATAGGCTTTCACCCAGCTTTATATATATAAAGCCACACAACTGAACAATACAAGGTACTCCCTCCGTCCCATAATATAAGACGCTTTTTGACACTAGTGTAGTGTCAAAAAAACGTCTTACATTATGGGACGGAGGGAGTAGTAAGTTAGCCCTCTTACAAAGCAGATCAAAGGAAAATTCAAACATCGTACCACAAAAAAGTGCAAAGTGCAGTACTAATGTTGCAAATGAACACATGAGAGCGCGAAAGACACTACGTCACAACCAACTGTACATTGGCTCCACGACAACACCCAAAAGGGTAATAACGGCGCAAAGTGTCTCCGTTGTCGAGTCCATAGGGCCAGACAAAGGTTTTCACCTGAAGCCCTGGCACAGAGTGGTGCCCCAAAGCCTCCTCACCTCTTCCGAGCGGGCTCAGAGCGGCATGCGCTTCTGCTTTGGCTCGAATTAATATCAGATCCGAGTCGTTTTTGGCACCTGTTTTTTAACCCTTTTTTGGCTCTAGAGGTCGCATATGACCTCGGGTTGAGATGATCTGAAAAAGCAAAGTCGCTCATCTCGACAAAACACACAACTTTCATGATGATCCGTTCCCGATAAAGATCATCTTGAGAACACTTCTGTGCATGCCAAAAGCCGGTGTCAACAGAAAGGCAGGCATATACCACAGTTGGCTATAAGGGCATTAGAGCGTCAGCCAGCTTAGTTTTTTGAAAGAAGCATAGAGCCCGGAAAATACATAACATCCTCCTACCTGACAACTATAGAATGAATTCGGGAGTTGGTGGAATAATGCGATCAGACATGCAAGTTAAGAGGTTGGTATTAAGTAATCAATTGCTTGCACCTATTTTACAAAAGGTTTTTCAAATTAACTAAATCTTTGTTTGTGCTATTAAGTAATCTAATATCTCTTTTTTGAATTATTTTGACAATTTCTTGCTTTGTGTGGAGTTATTGTAGCTGAAGTTCATTTTATCAGAACAATTCTTCAAATGCACTGGTAAGTGGTAACTCCACCTCCGCTGTCTTGATTTTTCGATGTGTTTGGTTCGCGCACAACCAAACACACCCTTTGGCGAATTCGTAGAGGTGATACCTGGACTGAAAGAAGAAGCCTGGGGAAACGGACTCACTCCTCTCGCGTCGCCCCAGCGGGCGACCGAGAGGACCTACCCTAGCTGCCGGTCTCTCCCCTCCCTCCCCCCCCTCCCCCGCCCCCTCCCCCGCTGCCGTCGGCAAGAGCCGCCGGGCAAAGCCCTGGAGGTGCCGGCGGCGGCGGGCCACTTCCCCTCGGTTGGTCCAGGTGGCTGGCACGGGACAGGCTAGCCGAGTAGGGCGCTGTGCTTGTGCGAGGCCAGCGGCGCGGCGGCTGGCGTGGGTGGCGGCGGCGTGCGCTGCGGTGCGGACAACGGCGGCAAGCGCGTGGGCGTGGTGCGCGGCGGCTGCGCGAGGATGTGCTCTGGCGGATGCGTGCGCCGTTGGGAGCCTCGATCTGGTCTCTGGACGGGCGGCGCGGGAGGTGGGTCCGGACGCAGCGGGGCGGCGCGCTGGCATGGGGGTGCATCGGCTGCGCGTCGGCTTCGTGGTGGGCGGCGTGGAGCGGCTGGAGGTGTGCTGCGTCCAGCCCTGGTTGGGGGTCTTCTGGATCTGGCCATGACTGGCGGCTGGCGGCGCGAGGTGGTGGCGATGGTAAGGTCCAGTCGTCGCCATGGGCGTGCTCTGCTGCGCCGCGGTGGCTGCCCTCGCTTCGGTGAGGGGCTGGGCGGCTGTGTGGCAGGGTCGCGTGGGGGTGGCGGGGCTTTGACCTAGATCTGGTTCAAGTGCTCGGAGGCGGACGGCGGTGTCCCGGCGCGCGTGCGTGCGGCGTCGGGACTGGGTGCGGCAGGCGACGGCAGGCTGCGAGCGGAGGTTGTGGTGGCGTCATCAAGCTGCGCCCCGGATGGCCTTCGATCCGTCTCCTCGTCGTCTGGGCGCTAGTTTTGCCGAAGGGTTGGCCATCTCCCAGCTGCGGTTCATCGCTCGTCTCACGCCCGGGGCTGCAGGATCGAGCTCGTCTCGCGCCGGGCAGCAAGACCGTGCTTGTCTCGCGCCCGACAGCAAGAACGAGCTCGTCTCGCGCCCGGCAGCAGGACCGCGCTCGTCTCGCGCCCGACAGCAGGACTGCGCTTGTCTCGCGCCCGGCAGCAAGACCGAGCTCGTCTCGCGCCCGGGGCTGCAGGACGGGACGATGAAGGCCAGTTTTGGCCGGCCTATTGGGTCCCCGCGTTGGGGGCCGTCTAGGGATGTGAAAGGCGGGACCTTTCCACTCATCTCTTTGGTTGGGGTAGCGGCGGGTCTAGGGTGAGGTGGTGACAAGGTCTTCGATGCCAGGGCGGCGGCCCTGGTGGTGGTAGCCCGGTGCTCATGGGCAGAGCCCGTGGCTCTGTGTTGCCCGGTGACCATGGCTGTGTGGGCGGCGTGGTAGCCAGGGTGTGGCATTCGGTGGCGGTGAGTGTTGGCCGGGGTGAAAACCTGTTCTATCTTCGGATGGACCGGCGGCGGCGAAGCTCGTTCCCTTCTTGAAGGCATCGTCGCGGCTCTCATTGCCCGTCGTGTTGCTCTAGGGGAAACTCTGATCCTTGGATGGGGCGGTGGCGGCACTGGAGTGTCGTTTCCTTCCTGAAGGCGCCGCCTTGGAGCCCACAGTTCGTCGTATGCGGCTGCATCTCTTCGTAGTGATAGGGGTGGTGTTGCTGCGCTCAGCGCCTATGTATCCTGCCTTGGGTGCATGTGTTGTGGTGGCGTGTGTTTGTTGTGGTGGCGTGCGTTTGTACCGGACTGTTGAGGATGATTGCTTTATATATAAAGCGGGGCGAAAGCCTTTTTCGGTTAGAGGTGATACCTGACCGATCCACCAGTCAGCAAGATGAATTCAATTTTGATGTACGTAAAATTTAAATGAGCAACCGATTAAAAATTAACTAATTGCCTCTTTCCAAAACTTCTGATATATTTCATACATAATAACACAGTACAACATGGTGTTCAGGGGTGAGGTGGGAGAGGGGGGAGGTGTACGAAGCTGAATGATTCACCTGGATCCTTTGTTTGCCAAACAAACTGCTGAGTGCTGAGAAGCCACAGTAGCACACTCAAAATCTCCACGAGTGATTTTGTGATCAGACTGCCAGCACAGCATATTCAGTCTTCCGCCATGTCATGAATGTCCTAATTTTTCCTGTCTATCAAACCTATCACAATAGACGAACTCCACTGCTTCACCAGTCTGCAAAAGTAAGAGTGCAATGTGAGAAAAAACATATGCACGTAAGTGAGTGTGCACATCAGGGTTCATGTAAAGGCAGGAACTAAATAGAAAATATATGAAACTTTCACCTTAAGCTGTCTTTTGGGGTTTGTACCCATTCAAATAACATGCTGCTCTTGAAAAACAGTGACTCCCTGCAGTAGAAAATGATTTGTAATTGGAGTTTTTACTGTAACAGGTGATTACCCAGGTTCTAGCTCAGCATAATCTGACCTCTAAGAAGTGACCTCGCTTAGAGCAGCAGTCACATTACCGTCCAT